CTCCACCCCCCCCCACATTGAAGTCGAGAACAGCATACCCCACATAAGGGATCCGGAGACCATTAGCGGCCCTCAGCGCTAACCAGGATATCCGACTAGGATCTTGTATACAGTCCTCGCTAAAATGGCGATGAAACAGCGCTTCACTAAACAGAGTAACCTGGGACCCCGTATCTACTATACATGGAATCTGCCGCTCCTGTACCAACACCTCAACTACCGGGCAACTACCTACCATAGAGGGCCTTTGAAGGGGTGCCGTTAGAGAACCCTCCCGGTTCACTCGCCCTGCTGTGACCGGGGGTGCCGAAAACCCTGCACCGAGCGTCGCCTCGGACAAAACCGTTGAATGTGTCCTGCCTCCCCGCAATCATGGCAAATAGCTCGCCCCTGGGCATCCCATCTGTATGGCTGCAACACAGGAGGGGCCGACCCCAGACGTTGACGCTGGGGGGCCAAATCAGAAGGCTGCCGCCGAGTAGGCGTACCGGCCCCTAATGGGTTACCTGCCAAATCCCGGCCACACTGTCCCCGTAGCTCCGCAGAAAGGGATTTCCCCAACTCTACCAATTGCTCCTTTAATTCTTGCTGTAACTCTGTCCGCAGGGCATCCTTCATCTGTTGCCACGCCACTAGGGTTATCTCCTGTTCCTTTGCCTCTACCGGGGTCACGGCGGGCCTAAGCTGAGGAGCTGTAAAAGTTGGGCAAACCTGAAACTCCTCCTCTCGAGCCAATTCCTGTTCTAATGCCTTCGACTCTCTGCATGCATCAGCAAACATCAACGTGGGCACCCGTCGTAGTTGCCTTAACAATTCCTGCTTCACGGGGCCTGATCGCAACCCCGTAGCGAACTGGGCACGCAACAGCTCATCATCTGTCCCATCAACAAGGGGATCCCTAGCTCTCCACCTCTGATGCACCTCCCGCAGCCGGAGAATAAAAACCCCTACTGTTTCCCCAACCTCCTGCCTACAGTGAAAAAATTGCAAACGCAACTGAGCCACTGACTGCTGGCCCCCATATAACCCAGCTAGGGCCTCTAAAATCTTAGCATCAGTATTACGTTCCCCTCCGGGCAACAGCAACACTTCCCTTTTGGCACTCCCTTCCAAAGCACTCAATACAAAATCTACACGCTGCTCCACATTCAACCCCTGGGCCCGAATAAAAGCCTCAATCTGTGTTCTCCAATCCTGAAATCTAAGTGGCTCTTCCCCCCCACTAAATTTTGGTACCCATGGCCCACCCATAAACCAGGGCATTAATGCACCCACTAATTGAGGCTGCTCCCCATTGCTCATATTGCCTGTGTATACCAAGGATCCTG